AGAGGTGTGTTGGGGAAATCATCGCAACTATTAATCATCCTTACTCTACCATACATAAGGTCATACCACATGACGTCAGAGTGGGTGAGTAACATGACTATCTTCGACCAACAAGGCACATCCTTCAGATCCCAGATGGCTGTAAACCTTGACAAGTGAAAAATAAACCACTTGTAAAGAAGAGCAATGCAACAAGTTATATGCTCCCCCTCATTCAGAATTCTTTAAGTGAATGGAATGATATGTTTCAGCCAGCAAGGTGGGAACATGATTCTTGAGTATGAAGATCTTGATGGCATTCATATTAACGAAGTCGTCAATGTTTGGGAATAGGAAAATCCCATAGGCCAATAGCGCAAAGGTGGCTTCAAGAACTTTAGTATTCTTCTTATCGACGTGATAATGAATCTTCTCTATCAGGAATTCAGTAGGTAATCCAAGGAACCCTTCCTTAGTAGTCATGTGAGTTTAAAAATCAGACAAACTCAGGTGTATGGTGGTTGCAATATCCTAATCACTTAGCGTGTCTTCTGATCCAGAGAAAGGAGGTCGAGACGTGACCGACAATCCCATTAAAGCGGAATACTCCTCTAGAGTAAGCATCAATTGGTAATCCAGAAACGTGAAGCAATGGTACAAAGGATCATAGAATTGGACGAGTGTATCTAGCAACCCATCAATCATCTTGAGTCTGAATAGCGGGAAGATTCCTCCATATTCATTCGAGAAGGTCAAACGATTCTCAATTAGACTTCCTAGTTCCCTTAGGTTTTCAAGCTTCGGACTCTTGAAGGTGTACTTCAACGTTCCTCTTCTTCCAAAATCCATTTTCACAATGTCTGCAAAACAATTTTAGTTCCTTGAAGGGTTAGAAAAAACAAAATGCAGAAATGTGAATGCAAAAGGTTTCATGGAATTCGAGTATTTACAAACGTCACAGGATACCAAAAGAAACTCATTTATTGGTCAATAAAGGATTACAAATAAAAGTACTTCTTAAAAGAGCCTTAAAAATAACAGCTAAATAAAAGCTAATAAAGTCCTAAGAAAGTCATGTGTTAAGCTCCTTGATCTTCTCTTTCAGCTGAGTCTTCTCAAGGATAAGCTTGTCTACGATCAGCTTCCAAGGAGTCGACTGAGGGCTAAAGGAGAATAAATCCTCTTGTACTTTTCTCTTCTTACAAGAAAGTACCTCTTCACTCTTCAGCTATAGTTGTCTCTGGAGTTCAGCATTCTCTTCAACGACCACTTGATACTTATTCTTCTAAGCATCTCCTTCCTGTTGTGCTTTGCTCAGAGTGATCTTTAACTCTTCTTCTTCAGACATGAAGATTAGAACGGGTTCCTTCTTTAGAGGCATGGGATCTTTTCGGGTATAAGGCATCTTCAACTTGATAGCCCTATCTCGGACCCATTGGAGATAAGGTTCCAGAGAAACACATTTAGGCTTTCCTAAACTTTCCTTTCCTCTTTTGTGCAGATGACGTCATGCAATCACAATCTTCTCCTAGAGCTCTTTATTATCTTCCTCATCATTGAAGAAAATGCTTTCCACATGAGCACTCTTGGGTTTATCTTTCAAAGGGTACCCTAGCTGATGGCGAGCCAAAATAGGATTGTAACTAATTCCTCATTTAGTACTAAGGAGAGGCACATTAGCGAAATCTCCACAACTGTCAATGATCAGTATCCCATCGTAAACGTGGTTGTACCAATCAATATCCGAGTGGGTAGGATCCATAACCTTTTGTGACCAACGACCTTTATTGAGATCCCAAAAGGAGCCAGTCTTGAGAAAGTGCAAAATAAACCACTTGTACAATAAGGGTACACAACTCGTAATCATTCCTCCACCATGAAAATTTCTAAGATGAACTGAATGATAAGCATTAGCTAGCAAGGTTGGTACTAGATTATTCTTCAAGAAGACCTTGATAGAATTAAGGTCAACAAATCCTTCAAAGCTTGAGAAAAGAAACACTCCGTAGATAAGTAAAGTGAGAATAACCTCAAATGCATCCATGCTCAGATGATTGGCGTAATATTAGGCTTTTCCGATCAGAAAATCTATGGTTAATCCAAAAACTCCACCTTTAGTAGTCATATTAGCTTTAATGTCAGATAATTTCACATGTATAGCCTTGGAAATGTCCCGCTCTTTAGGGTCCTTCTCCAGAAAAGGAAATGGAGACTCACCAGGATAGGCAAACCAACCAACTGAGAATACTCTTCCAATGTAAGTACTAGCTGATAGTTTGGGAAAGTGAAGCAATGATAAATCAGATCATAGAATTGGAGTAATGTAGAAAGAAGTCCATTGTCCACCTTAATATTCAATAATGATAATATCTTCCCATACTTGTCTTTGAACTTTTCTTGATCTTTAACCAAAGCTGATAACTCCCTTAGGTCATCCAGTTTAAGACTCTTGAAAGCATACTTCAAAGTATTTTTCCTTTTGCAATCCATAATGATCCTGTGATATTCGCAAACAAAAACTCTGAATTCCATGAAACTTTTATACAAATGATGCTTATGAATGCAGGAATGCACAAACACAAGCTAACAAAGATCCACATAAACACATATACATAACATTAAACAAACAAAGACTAGGTTTGAAATTCAACGAGCATGGAGTAAAGGGTTTACCCATCCCAAATGGTGTGTACTAAGGGTTTATTGTACCTACAGAACAAAGGCTCTAAAAGGTTCCCAAAGTTATTAGCCCATCTTTTGAATATTATCAATTTCCAAAATACTTGGTAGTTAATAATATTCTTAAGAGAACCTCTTTTGAGTGTAGTATCGTGTATCAACTACTTTGGGACTACTCCCTCATAGTCATCACACTACGTCCTAAGAAGGCCAAGTTGAGTTAAGGGTAACTAAAGGTTCTCAACATCACAGGCTCCTAGGTCGAAAGTAGTAAGTGTTTTCATGAATACTCATTCAACAGTACTATTCTCAAGAGGGCCTCAACTGAGTGGTGATTTCTCAAGTCATCTTGGTCGGGAATCAACTCGCTATAAGCCTTCTTGAGTATATCACATTTCTATCATAAGTGCACTCAAGTTTGGGTGTAGGACTTATCTCACCACACAAAAGTAAAAATTCCAAAGCAGAAACAATATACAGATAAGCAGATATATAAATATACAACATTAAACACAAATAAACAAGTTAAGGGGAACCCTCAGAGATTTCCCTAATGAAGCGCCATTTCTGTCGCGGTAAGCATCGGATACCAAGCTATTGATTAACTTGAATTGCAAATCATTATTCACCACCGGTCTTTAATTTGTCCAAGGGAAGGGAAAAAGATCGAAATAACCCATGAGTATGCAATGCAATGAAAAGTTAGAGAGTCTAAGGTTCAGGGGTTGATTATACCTAGGGAAGGTGTTAGCATCCTAAGCATCTGTAGTACTCTACAGGAACCTCTTGTTTTATTGTGTTATTGTTGTTTGCTAAGGGTAACCTAGGGGTTTATTTCTAAGTTTGCTCGCCAAGAAATTGCATCTTGTACCTACGTATCCTGACGGGAATGGAATCAGAGCATTCGTAGTTCCCCTAAAGGGATGAGGAACTCTTGACTACGACCTAGGTTCTAGGGGAGAAGGTTTATTGACTGATTTTAGGAGAAGAGATAAGTCGTCACCTTAAAGAGAATACTCGACTTAAACCACCACAAGCACGTGGAAGATGGTATTTGCTTCACTTTGAGAGAAGGGCTTCAACTCAGATTTATAATTGATGAGTATGTCACATACCTCTCTCAAGTGGAAAAGATTCTAAATCTTTCTCGATTATGTTATGGGGTAGGAGAATTATATCTTAACTACATAGATGAATCGTGTCTAATTCTTCTGTGGGAGAAAAGATTATTTGATTTATAAGTTGTCTAAATGTTAAAAATCTATGGGAATCTATCTTAAGATATAAGGGTATATCCTAAGTTTATCAACCTGAAAGGAATCAGGGATCAAGTAGGAGAAATGATGCAAATGAGTAATACAGTGTATATAACTTATAAAGTCACACACAAGTTCTTCCCTTAGACATGTAACATGTGCAAATATATTATAAGGGAAACAGATAAAAGTAATAAGCATATTGTGATAAAGATCAATGAGAAAATATTGCAAAATTCCATCAAAAAAATTTCATTAAATCATCAATTAAAATTCAAATAGAAATCAATCACAAATCAACTAAATTTATAATTAAGACTCAACAAATAATCCATTAAAAGTTCAGCAAGAATTAGTTGATTAATTGAGGATCCAAAAACAACATGAAGAATAATCCAAAACAATCATCCAAGCAAACACAGGAAAATTAATTGAAACGACTATAAAGATTATCAAGGAGAACATTAAAAACATTAAACAAAAACCAACATGAAAAGATATTAATCAAACCAAAATAACAAAATATTACTCGAAAAATATCATGAAATGAAATAATTAAGACCAAAAGTTAATCAAAATGTTAATCAAAATCAAAATAAAAAAAAAATAAAAAAAAAGGTGCGGAAATTAAAATGAGGATTGTGAATAGAAATGGGGGTGGGTCCTTATTAGTGAGTCCAAAGGAGTGCCAAATATGAATTAATGGTGCTGAAAAAACAATCTACATGGGCTTATCTAAGTCCCAATCAGATTCATATTGTTTGAGAGGGAGTGCCAAACAGTAAAACGCTTGGGCTGGTGCTATCTAAAGCCCACCCGAATTTCAAACATAGGAACATCAACATGATAAAAAGAAGAGAAGCAGAAGTCTCAACATGTCCATTCTTGCTCCCTCTTCTCTCGTTCACGCGACCCACCCTTCTCTGTCGCGTCTCCTCCTTCGCAATAGCATCCTTCTCCTTTCCACAAAATCCATTTATTTCCCCAGATTCTATCCTAAGATGCTAAACCGAAACACAAACAAAAGAAACCCTAGGTCCAAATTCTTGAAATCAAAATGGTGGTTACGAGGATCCAAAGCATTTTATGGAAGGGTTCGATTTCAAATGCTTTATACTAAATAAGGGAATCCAGAGTGGATTGCTTACCTACCGGAGCGGTTCCGGTGACACTTCCGCGGCGGTGGCGTCTGAGGAATCAGGTGATACGTTCTTTCGATTCAATTTCTTTCTCCTCCAATTCTTTGTGTGTGTTGTTGATATTCTCCCAACCCGTTGTATTTACGTTGCTATGTTCGTGAATTGCCGGCGCTGCGAAATGCTTCACTTGCTGAAGTTTCAGAAACGTGTTGTTTGTTTTATACGCCGGTATGGTCTTTCTTCCTCTCAATCCTTTTCTGCTTTTCACTTCGTGCGTGCTTTTGTAGCTATGAATTGGTATTTCCTTTTGATATTGTCTCCTTCCCTTTGCTGTGAACATTGCCCTCTTTATATGCCTTTGGATTTGAACTTTGTTGTCCAATTTTGAAAGCTGTTCAATGTGTTGTAAAATGTTGTTTTAGAAACATTTCAAAAATTGTATGAAGCCTGTTGGAAACTTTCCGTTTTTTTTTCCGACAGATTAAAAATCTTTCTTTTTTCAGTTGATTGTGTTTGAAACAGGTCTTGCTACATTCATGATTCTTGCCTTTTTTTAAACTCATGATTAATGGTGGTTTCCGTTTTAGATTGGACTCTATTTGCCTATGTGTGATTATCATGATGTAATTTCCATTTCGGTTCGAACTTGTTCGATTATGTCGGCTGCAAATTAAAACTTGCAATTGATTATGTTTGCCCATGCTTGCTTCTGGTGTAACTCTTTTGTAGAGCTTCCTGAAGAGTGTCACTAAGTAGTATTGTGTTGTTGAGCAGAAGGACGAGCTATTGGGGCTTGTCTTGTCAAAACCAACGTGTGTAAGACATGAAAAGAGAAAACTGTGTGCGCATCCTTTGTTTGCGCATCGGGGTACTGAACCAGAACTTGCAAACCACCATACTTATCAAACAATTCGATCCTTTTGGATGGGTCAAAAATAGAGAAAACTGTGTGTAAGACATGAAACGCACTTGGGCTCCATCAACTGTAGGAGGTCTTCTTGAAGCGAAATTTCGACTGAAGTTGTCTTTAAAGAAAGAAAAATTCATCAATCCTTGAGCATGTGCTTGTCCTTTAAAATCTTGGCGATGTAACAATTATGTCCAAACTTGCATCTCATGTAGCAACTTTATTTTTTAAACTTTAGAATTCAAATCTTGCACATGGAGAACCTTTAAATATTGAACTTGACTTTATGCATTGGGCTTGTTTTGTCCGAATGTTGATGAATCTTTATAGTGTAATACAAAATTTTGGTTCAATTATGTGTATTTGTACAATAATCTAATTTTGGTCAAATCTTTATATAATACTGCTGAGAAAATTATTATTTGACATTGTAACCCGTTTCGGCTAATTCCTTCATTTTTTTAGTATTCGCCGTTTCACCAATATAGACAACATACTTTTTAGCTTAAACCAAAGCCTTCTAGTTCTTATTCAAATTTCTCAAAATCAATGTTTAGTCTTCCCGCAAACTAATATGTAAGTCTTGGAACTTATGATTTTAAACATGACACTTTAAAATTGGAAATGGATATGAAAAAGTGATTATGGGTATAAAATAAATTTTGGTTTTGATTTGGTTATGAGCTTATTAATGAATATGGGTGGGTTTGAATAGAAAATGACTTGGGTCGTAAATTTGAATTTGGATACGAATAGTGATGGACTTAAATAATGCCTTTGTCGTTTGAATTCTAAGGAACCTGCACAAACCTTCTTCCATTTTTGTTTGAATCAAAATCTGGAACAAAATAAACGTATAAGAACTTCATTCTTAAATTAATGAATCTATTGGCCTTTCCGTCCCTGTTTGTCTCCAATTTAAACAACATATCAGTCACATTCCCTCTAATAAGATCTTAATCCATAGTTTAACCATCAAGAAACACTTTGACTTAATGAAACTCCAAACAATCCTTTAGGTGAGAATGATCTAAGAACCATGCTTTAAGGAGTCTTTTAGAAGAAAGGATACAACTTGAGACACAATTTTGTGAAACTTTAACCAGTGAAAGGGAATTTAAACTCTCCTTGGGTATACGTTGAGGCTTCTGAGAAGTCCTGAGAAAAAGATCAGTAGAGACTCTAGGATCCTTGAAACAGAATCGTTACGTTCTGAAATACTTGACTGTGAGAATAAATATTGCTTCCTCTTGAAAATTGATGCTCCTACACAAGTTGGTTAGTGATAGAAGGAGAAATGCACACAAGGACCGTATGCCCTATCAATGCTATGCAGGGCGATGCATGACGAGGTGGGATCTTAGGTTTAAAAATTAGGGTGTGACATCTGTCTCGTTTATGACATTCCAGCACTGAACCAAATTGTTGGCTTCATTTGTTGCCCTAAATGATCTAATGTCAAGTCTTCCATCTTTAACATCCTTGCAACATAATTTCCAAGTCACCGTTGCCAACTTTCTTTAATAAATGTCTCCGCTTCATATAAAGTTCTAACACCAAACTTCTATTTGAGAAATTAAACTAAGAGACCAAGAGTAGATTCTGAATGAGTAAATAAGCATGTTGTGAATAATCGAATTTACTAATTGGACTCTTCCAACTATTGACAACAAACTCGCCTTCCAAGCCGCCAACTTTACCCTAATTTTATCAACAATCAGTTGGAAATAAAGAGCCTTGGGTCTGCCCTTGAAAATGGAGACCCCAAGATAAGAAAAAGACAAATATCACATCTTGAAACCAATTTTACTAGCCAAAAAATGTTCTTAACAGTGGACATCGAGCCTACAAACATAACGGACTTTGCGAGATTGCACACTTGTCCAAAACACACAGCATATCTATTAAATAACTCAGCAATTGCTTCCAACGACGAAGAGCCTCCTCTAGAAAACAACATGATGTCGTCTGCGTATAAAGTATGAGAAGGAAAAGACACATTCTTACAAACTTTAATACACTTCAACCTATTTGTCGTAACCAAGTATGTGAGACCCCTCCTAAGAACATCCTCAACCAAACACTTATTACGGTATGCTTGATTAGAATGAGAATAACTGACTCATAACAGGGATATTTAGGACTTGATATTGTCAAGTTTGCAGCAGCAACAACAAAAAAAAAAAATCATATTCTTTAAAATAGACACATTTAACATTGTTGAATACTCTTGCATATGCCCCTAGCAGCTTTGGTCGTCTTCTTCCCGTGAGAAGAGTGGGATCCACATCTAGAAGCTAATCGTTTCTTTAACCAAGAAAGTCAAACACAAATACATTACAGCACTAATATAAATAGTTAAATTATTTCACTTTAATTCTCTCAACTTTTTATTACCTAATAAATTACTTTTATTTTCTTAAATAAGTGTCTTGAATGTATCTTCGTTGGAGATTTGTAGAAGACTTGTACAAATAACAGAACCAGTGAAGTGGAAAAAGTCAAGATAAAACAAGGATCGTGATTTTTCTCTCGTTAATTTAGGATTGTCTGCTCAATATAATGTAGCATTCTAATTACGCAATGGTAAACATAGATATCAATTAAAACATGTCCTACTACATAGGCCTCCCTTATAATGTAAATAACAACATAGAAGTTTAGAACTGAATAAAACAACATGGAAGTTAGAAGCCAAATCCATACACAACAATACAAAAGGAGGCGTCGTCACTAAAACCTAAATTCACTTCTTCCTTTTCTTCGGTGGCTGCAAAGCTTCCTCGTCCTCCTCCTCCTCGTCCTCTTCATTCTCTTCCTCGTCAACACCTTCCTCTTCGTCCTCTTCTCCACCCTCTTCCTCATCATCGTCGTCCTCGTCCTCATCATCGTCTTCATCTGGGTCATCGCCGTCTTCATCATCTTCCTCTTCACCATTTTCATCTGCCCCACCAGCACCACCTTCAGGTGCCTTCTTTGAGTTGCTCTTATTGTTGGAATTGTTGCCATATGCTCCACCATCTTCAGAAGACAGTTCATCTTCTCCTTCTCCAAATGCACCATTTCCATCGTCATCTTCTTCGTCTTCATCGTCATTGCCATCTTCTCCTTCGGCGTCGAGTTGCTTGTCTTGACTTGGGGTTTTACTCTCTCCTTTTGTTGGAGGCATGTTGGTTAGCATTAGCTCATAGAGTTCCTGCACCCATTTTATAAATGATTTATTTATATATAGAGAAACATCAAGTGTGTAAGAAATCAAGACTATGTTTAGTAATTACCACAAAATACGTGAATTTATTACCACATTATCAAAGAACATTTTCAAACAGGCTATGTGACTATAGTTCACTAAAATACGTGAATTTAATTTAATATCTAAAATATTAGTAATTTTTTAAATGCCTTTGGATATTATAGAGGTACAATAGTCATGTTGCAATTAATACCTTTTGTACCTTATTTTCAGTTTAAATTAATGACACAATGTCAGTGTAAATTTGTCATCTGATAATAAGAGGCCACCATTTTTTCATGGAAAGGTACAAAAGTATGGTAATGATGACTAATGTGGCAAAGTAGTGTTTTTCTTTGGATCTAACGGTTTCTTTGTGATTCTCACTTTAATTTTTAAAAAAATGTACTGTATATTAAATGTGTTCCCTTGTAAAGAAAATTTTCAAATATTAATTATAGCCAACATAGTTTATAAAACCTAATAGAGTAATTTGAAAATAAACAAGTTTAAGAACAATTTTCTTTTCCAAATAAATTATTTAAGAACATATACATAATTTTAATCAAGCGTTCAAATATTTAATATACTAAATTATAAAGTGAAAGAATTTAAAATACCAAATTAGTATACAAATCAATTATGTTTTCACACATTTTTAAGGCCAATGCTAACAAGGATATAATTATTTCAAAACATTACGTAAACGCTAATGTATACGGAGTATGTATTTCTAAATTTTTGCGAATTATTCTATATTTATTTATTTATTTATATTTATATAATTATATTATGCCTTACACAAGTTAGCCGACATCACTTAATAGTGGGCCCCATTACCCATAAGATTCGATCCATCCGTTTTCTCCACCCAGGATACTAGGAAAAACAGAAACCAAAACGACAATAGGAAAAAGCAGAACCAAAACGACACGCGTTACAAGTAGTACGTGCTTTACGCTCAAAAGGCATATCCAACCGAATAATCCACTACCACCGATTACGAATCCGCTTCTCTCAAATTACCAACTTTAAACAACACTGTTTCCTTTGAATTTTTTTACACAAAATTTAACTTTATTTCTATAAAAAATGGTTAAAAGATTTATAAAGAAAAGTGAAAGTTTGTCCAATAAAGTTAAAGGATATTTTTTTTACAGAAAAGGTTGGCGCACATTAGCATACACCTATACCGAAAAGTTAAAATCAGCCGGCGAAAATAGAAAGATCCACAACTCATCATTTCCAAATCCGTTACCCACTTATCCTAAAAAAATCGAACAAGCCGCTGATTCGTCAATATGCGCAAAATAGCGTACGTTAAAGGCATAAGCGCATAATAAATTTGATAAAGACAAAACAAAAACCTTCATAATTGATAACAGTATTAGTCTAGCACGTTAGAAAACTTTGAAGTTGAAAAAACAAAAATTGTTTTCAATTTAGATAAGGCTAGATCTCGTCAAGTAAACAGCTTTTGACACTTTTATTCTCTTTACACTTTTAGTGAAATTAAGTGTGAAGAAACTAAGAAAAAGTACTTACCGGAGCCAAAAGCGTGGCTTTCACGACAGCGGAAGCTAACAAAGTCACAAGCACTTCCGCGGCGTACGTTAACGCGCCGCGCGTGACCATCATCGAACTGTGTTCAGTCTCCATTTCGTGTGACAAACAAACAAGTCCTTTCTCAAACCAGAAAATTTTTATCCTGTAATAAATAATAAATAAATAATTATTATTAATTGCAAATAATAAATTTAAAAAAATGATATCACCAACATCGTTAGATTAGATCTTCTGAAAAATCACGACAGTTTCTGCTCTTGTTTCAGAATCATGACACCAATTATTATTTTAATTTAATTAACAAATATTAAGCTTCGAAAACCTAATTAAACAATATTCTGAACGGGATAAAAATTCACTAAAATTATTTAACCAAAAATTAAGCTAATTAGGAAAGCATATGAACAACAGTTAGATTTTTTGCTTTTAAAAGTGAAACACGATAAGTTTAACGGAAGAAGAAGTGTTTCAACAAAAGAGAGAAAATAAAACTAAGTATAAATTTCAATTTTCAACGTAGATCGAAAAAAATAGAAACAAAAAGCGTAAAAAAAGTGAAATAAGAAGAGAAAAAGTGAGAATTCTCAAGAATTGTAAAGAAGAAAGATGAAAGAGGTTACCAGGAACGAAGATCTAGAGACTGATAAGCAAGATCTGGGGTTTGATGCACTAAAACCTCTGAAAAATAGGAGAAGAACGCTCGTACATTATGGACCGTTGGATCTTGATCAATGAAACACTGAGCTTCGAAATATAGAAATATCAGAGGCCAGTGAGAGAAAGAGAGAAGGAGACACAGGTTCTGCTCGTAATTTCTCAGCCAAGTTTCGGGCAGTTAGGGCAGCATTCATAAAACTGAAAAATCGAATTACGGGCTGCCCGAAGAGGCACGTAAGGACAAGTGTGGGTTTTGTTAATTTCAAATGGTTTTTTTTGGGTTTCTATGAGAATCGTTTTCATTCATTACCCGGTCAAGTCATAATAAAACATTTATTTATTTATTTTAAAAGTAAAAATTACTCCACACGTGTGCGAAGTTTCTCACGTGTGAGGATTGTACTTCTTGTCTACTAATATTCCAAAAATTGTTATCTTCTTCAACCATGGTTACTTACTTACTCTACTATGGTTTATCTAGGGTTAACTACACCGTAGAGTTGGAGAGTTGTTGAAATATCAAGGGTATATTAAATTTGTATATTAATACGGAATCCACCACGAAGATATTTTTCGGAATTAAATACAAATCAGGGAACCTTTTAAAGTTGGAATAAACCACCAATCGGAAAAAAAAAGTTGGAATAAAGCATCAAACCAATTACACTAATTGTGATGAAATAATTAATAAAATTTCAGTTTGAGTGAATTCTTTAGAAAAGTTTAAATAAAGCATCAAACCAATTACACTAATTGTGATGAAATAATTAATAAAATTTCAGTTTGAGTGAATTCTTTAGAAAAGTTTAAACTTAAATTTAAACAACTATTTTATCTTAAAATATAAAATTGAAGTTATACACTTCAATATATAATAGATATTTTAAGTTCATTAAAAAAATTACTTTAAACTCATCAATTGCTTTTTTTACTATATAAATTATTATTTAAAAAACTATCATTTATTGTTGAAAAAATAAGGATGCGAAAAATGAAATAACATAAGGAGTGGTGATCTTTCTTCCTTTCTTTGTTTTGTAAGATCATTCACTTTTAAAAAAATATATATATTTCTTTCTTTTTCTCTCATCCACACAGACAAAATGACTTAGCTGAGAGATTCAATCGAACAATCCTTAAAAATATCAGATGCATGTTGGTTAGTGCTGAATTGAAGAAATTTGGTCGGGTCAACCACCTGATCTTGGCAAACTGAGAGTATTTGGATGTTTAGCCTATGCTCAAATTAGGAAAGACAAGGTCGAACCTAGAGCTCTGAGATGCATGTTCCTTGGATATCCTGAGGGAGTCAAAGGTTATAGGTTGTAGTGCCTAGAACCAGTTCAAAGAAGATGTATCACAAGTCGTTATGTAGTTTTCAATGAAGTCGAGATGGCGTTCAAGAAAACCGGTGATACTGGTTGAAGTGCAGAAATCTCTGAAAAGGAGTTGGAACAGGTAGAGATTCCTATTGAGGTGGAGCATAGTGATGATGAAATGCATAACTCAGATGAAGTCGAAGAAGAAGAGCAAGATGCTAAAGAGACTGAGGAAAATGTCGATGACTACCTACTGGCAAGAGATAGGTCGAGAAGAGTCATCAAGCCACCTTAGAGACTTGGTTATGCAGATCTTATAGCTTTTGCCTTAATCTCTGCAAGTGAGGTACTTGAGAAAGAATCTAGAGATTACAATGAAGCTATGAGGAGTCAAAATCAGAATGAATGACGAAAAGCCATAGATAACGAGATAAAATCTCTTCGTGATAATAACACTTATGAGCTGATTGAGAAACCTGCATGAGCAAGGTTAGTCGGTTGTAAGTGAATTTTCAAGGTCAAGGAAGGAATCAAAGAAGTGATGTCGAAGCGCTTTAAGGTAAAACTAGTTGCTACGGGGTTCACTCAGAAAGAAGGTGTCGACTTTAATGGCGTGTTCTCACTTGTTGTAAAGCATAGATCCATTAGAATGTTGTTGGTCATGGTGGCGAAGTTCGATTTGGAACTTGAGCAAATGGGTGTGAAGACAATATTTTTGTATGGTAACCTAGACGAAACGATCTTGATGCGTCAACCTGAAGGGTATGCAGAAAATGATAAGGAAGATTATGTGTGCAAGTTGAATAGGTCTTTGTATGGCCTGAAACAATCTCCTCGACAATAGAAATGAGATTCGACAAATTCATGATACACATTGGTTTCACTAGGAGTCAGTTCGACCACTGTGTTTACTTCAGATTTCGACCTGGAAACTCACTTGTTATTTTGTTGCTTTATGTGGATGATATCCTCATAGGTAGCAATAGTGTCGAGGATGTAATGGAGGTGTAGGTTGAACTCAACAAGGAGTTTAAAATAAAGGATCTAGGAGCTGCCACCAGGATTCTTGGGATTGACATTCGGAGAGATAGAAAATAGTCAAAGTTGTGCTTATCTCAAGAGACATACCTATGGAAGCTTCTCGACAAGTTTGGTATATCGAATTCAAAGTCTGTTGTGACTCCAACAAATCCTCAGTTTAAGCTTAGTATTACTCAAAGTCCAAATACTAAAGCTGAAAGAATCTATATGAGTATCATTCCATATGCTAGTGTAGTAGGTTCTTTGATGTATGTTATGGTCTGTACAAGGCCAAACATAGTGTATGGTGTGAGCCTTGTAAGCAGGTATATCGCCAATCCTGGAAAGGCGCACTGACAAGCTGTAAAATGGATTCCCAGGTACATAAATGGGTCTATGAAAAGAGTCCTAATTTATGGTAGGGCCTGTGGTGATGATATCAAAGTCAAAATTGAAGGGTTTGTCGACTCTGATTATGCAGGTTATATGGATTCCATAAAGTCTATTTATGGATATGTGCTCACTATGTTTGGCACAACAATCAGTCAGAAAGCAACGCTTCATAAGTTTGTTGCCTTATCAACCACTGAAGTAGAATACATTGCCCTCACTAAAGTTGTGAAAGAAGCATTATGGCTTTAAGGGTTTGCAAAGAAGCTGAAACTTCAAGGTCGAAGTATCACTGTTAAATGTGATAGTCAAAGTGTTATACACATGTCGAAGAACTCAACTTATCATGAGCAAACAAAGCACGTCGATGTAAAGTTGCACTTTGTCAGAGAGATAATCGAGCGTGGTTAAGTCCATGTGCTAAAGGTTTCGAATGATGACAATATCGCTGATATGATCACCAAAATGTTGCCAAGTTGTAAGTTTTTCCACTGTATGCAATTGATAAAGTTGCATGATGAAAGCTAGTTTATTCTATGTTGTTGTAGAGTTAGATCCAAGGTTGAGATTTGTGAGATTCTGGGTCAAACTCTAGCTCTACCAAGGAATAACTTTCATGTGTTTTGACAGAAGACAAACATGAAGTCAAAGTTGGGTCACATGCTAATGTCGAAGGCTTACATACTGTAGTCGAAGCTAGTTTTAGTATGTTATGTCGAAATATATATTGTTTACTTATTATGTTGAATTGGGTCTTGTGTTAAGGATCCAATTGTTTAGTTAGTTTGTATTGTAAGTTAGCTAGTTAGTCTATAAACAAACTAGATCACTCAGGTTGTTGAGTGAGGCCAATTGTGATATTCATTTGTAATAATTTATAAACCCTATTGAGGAAGTGAAAAGTAAACAATTTTCCCTAATCCTTCTTCTTCTTTCTTCTTTATCCTTTCTCTTTTTGTTCTAACCGTTTTTATTGTTCACCCAAGAATTTTATTTCTCAATCTTTATTTGTTAAAAGGTATCATTTGTGATCACAACATTTTCTTTTTTGTTAAAAAATATTATGGAAAATCAAACTCATTTTAAACATGTAACTAAAAAGATAAAATAATAATATTTGAGAGAGAATTTGATTACCGGAACCAAGAATGTAACATCTTGTATAATATATATCTAGAATAATATCATACAAGAGTTATTATCTGGTACTGACACCATCATAAGTGCCTATTAGCATAATTTACATACTTGACCATTTTACAATACATAAAAGAACAACAATGGTACAAGATATGGAAAGTGTAGAAAGTGCCAAACAATAAAATCTAAGAACTGAGTACAATATCCATCATTGTACAGGATACAAAATACACAATGCACAGCAGAATAAGCATAATCTAAGCTTATCTTGAAACATCCGAGCAAAACTCCACATGCAAACTAAACTTGCAAACAATACCTGGAAAAAAAAAACAACAATAATGGGGTGAGATAATAATCTCAGTGAGTTCCCATATCTTATGGGTTCATTCGGCTCTACAAGGTTCTAGCCAATTCCTATCTCAAGTTAAAGGGAAATGGATAAGACTTGAGTTCACACAGTTTGCAATGCATGGAAACATGCCTCTTGAGTCCATCAACTCAAACAATCACTAGTCGGAAACTATACCAAGGTATCCCATTTTCCCGTCCTCACCTACATCTAGG